TAACCTAATCTAAACAAGCTCTTAGAATTAGATTAAAAGATTGCATGAAGCTTTATGTGAATGTTCCCAACAACACCCAATGCTCCTCACAAGCTCGGGAGTGTAAGAGTGTATGAATAAGATTTACACTAGGTTTATTCAAAAGAATTCAATTTAGTGCTTATTACTTGTTCAATTTCACAAAACAATTACGGATTTTGCAAAATAGATAACTTGAATGACCTAACCCTAATTCAAATGGCCAATAAGAATCACAATTAGAACCAAACATTTGATTGAAGCAAAATCAAAATTCATTAGATAGAAATTGAAAACAAACATCATGTCATATGATTGAAATCACTACCAAGAAGTCAAAACATGAAATTGGAGAAACTAGGGTTCTAGCCACACATGGCTAGAACAAGATCACAAGTTTAAAAGATGGAATTAAAATGCAATTACAACTTACAAATACTAGAAATAATGTTTCCAAATGATTATTGATCAAACCCTTGCAATAACCTTCGAAATCCCCTCTCCAAATGTGCTCTGATATGTTTTGTGTATCTCAAAATGGCCCTCAACCCGTAATATGAAAGATAGGAAAAACTGCCAAAAGTTAGTTTTTGGGTCAAACACGGCCCGTGTTAAAATAGGCTAAACTGACACGGCCCGTGTTCAGCAGCCAACACGGCCCGTGTTCAGCATGGTCAACAGCTCCCATTTTGGTCAACACGGCCCGTGTTGATTTTGCAGTGTAAATCCAACACGGCCCGTGTACCCCTCTGACTCCGAATCCAAACTTGATTTTTCCAACTTTTTCGTTCTTCACTCGATCATCCCAAAATCTTCACCAATGCTTCCCGGCAACTCCCAAAGCGCGTCCCAACCTCCGGTTTACCTGAAAAAGACATGAAAGTGTGCAAATAAGGTTGTTCTAGAGACTAACATGAATATGATGAAATGCAATAAAAATGAAGAATATAAATATGCTAAATAGATGCATAAAGGGGGACTAAAAGGTGTGCAAAAAGGTGCACAAAATACACCTAACACATCCCTAAATGGATGATGTAAAATGTCTCACTAGTTGGTCCTTATGGTCATTGCCGCTTTGACCCCTAAAGCCGTGTAAGCCAAGATTGTATTATGTAAAATAATCACTTTAACATTTCACCTTATCTCCCAATCTTAATATTTCACTTGGTCTCGTGGTTCTTTATTCACTAAACCTGTCCTAACATGTGATAAAGTACTAATGTATCTACAATAGACTAAAGAGTTAGCAAAACCTATGTATTTTTTGGAAAGATAACACTGAAGTACTACAGTGATTGTAGGCGTTGATACGAAACAAAATAACCTTAAATCCACTTATCTAGTAATCGGAAAATAAGCTTGTGGTTGGCAAGGCAAGATAATTATAATAATGAGAAAACGAATTACCAGTAAAAAGAAAACTTTTAGTTAATCAGGAGAAACTCGTCGACTTATTATTATTATTATTATCATTATTTCTAAGGAATGTGTTCTTAAATAATTAGAAAAGGAGCCGTTTGGGTTTGAATTCTATATTGTAAACGTTTTAAATATAGATCACTCCCAACCCCGTTTTACACACTAATTTAAATGATTGGTCACGACAACAATAGAGTTGTTTTACGCTTAAAATAACACTTTAAGTAAAATAATTGTTTTTAAAAATCTAAACGTTCACCAATTAAAGAAATACTAAATTACAATCAAACCCTACTATCGCTCGTTATCACAGATTTTTTAGTTGGACTTGACGATGATTCTGGAAAATCCATAGAAAAAAGAATCTTGAATGCTTTAACAATATGATCATGAAGATAAAATCAAATGTGGATCTCTTCTAAACTGGAACGGCAATGTAAAAAAAATAACAAATAACGCCAATAACTATATATGAGAGAATGAGATAAAAGAGGAGAATTTCATAAACATGTTTAGGGTTAATGTTTTAATTTTTGTCATTAGAATGGGGTATTTATAGTAAAAAAGGGATGGAAATGAGTTGTTTTAGAAATATTAAATAATAATATTATTTTAATTTTAAATTTTTTAATGTTAGCTCAAAATACTCGACTAGATCAGAGACCTCTGGTTGGCCCACGCGACCTCTCATGTTGGACATTTTTTTTAGCAGAGATATTAAAAATATCTTCCTACCTTTTCTTACTACTTATCTTCCTATCTAGACTAAACTGCACAAATGGTCCCTGTAGTTAGCTGAAAATTGCTATTTTGGTCCAAAAATGTTTGGACTAGCACCAGAGGTCCAAACTTTTCATTTTGTTGCGGATTTGGTCCAGTTTGCTTTGAACTTTTTTATAATGACGGATTTGCCCTTGCTTTTTCAGTTTTTTTTTTATTTAAATATTTTTATAATTAAAAGAAAATAAAAAACCAATTACTCTCTCTCTCTCTCTCTCTCTCTCTTATTGAACCAAAAATCTACAAGAACACAACCTAACCGTGGCTTCCCACCATACACATCTTCTCTCACAGTGGACCATGAATCGCTAACACACACACATACACACATCTCTCGATCTCTCCGACAATCGATCTCTCAAAAAACACATATGCTGTCAAATCGATCTCTCAGAAAACCCATCTATATGAATCGATTTCAATCCATCTATATAAACGACTGTGGTGGTGTTTTGGCTCAATCAAATCGTCAGTGGTGTTACAACAATTGTTGTTGTGTTATGGATCTCCGATTAACAACCCTACATAAAGGAGGCGACCATGTTCTGATTTGAAGATGAAGGTCGATGATGGTTTGGTTGCGATGAAGGGTGAAGGATTTCGGCATGTCAAGATGATGGTGACAAATACGATTTGTTCAATACTTCACTTAAGAATAGATCAAATTTTATATTACAGCCAAGTTGTCGCAGCCCCAAATCCATTTCCTCAACACCACCGAAGCACCACTATCAAAGCAATTAGGGTTCTTAAGAACATATTAGAAATTAGGGCTCGCCACTATCTCTCAAGATTTTCTTCGTTTGCTTCATCATCTCCAAACAGATAGAAGAGACGAACTCAAACATATGTCCTCAATTTCTGAATATCAACCCACTGATCATTTTTTTTCCTTTTTTGACGACACCTGCAAATCAGAAACGGAGGAGAGATTAGGATAGAAAATCTGAAGGTGGATGAAGAAGGGGATGTGTTCTTCAAAAAAATTCACAGACCTCTCATTGTTTTTGGATTGAATGCGGTTCACAAAGAAGATGATGAATAGTGGATCCCACAATAAAATGTAAACCCTACGGCTTCTGTTTTCTGTGCCTTTTTTATACCCCAAAAGGAATCAAAAATAGGGCCTGTCTTCTATCTTCTAAATTTGTGGTGCTCGAATCTTGTTGTGTTCTTGCTTGTTGGGAAGACATCTGCATTAACGATAAATGTTGTTGGTTTCATCGATTTCAGATCATCATTTTTTTATGGTTTGCCGGGAGAAGATAAGTTGGGTTAGCTTCGTACAGGGGAGAGAGAGAGAGAGAGAGAGAGAGAGTAATTGGTTTTTTATTTTCTTTTAATTATAAAAATATTTAAATAAATAAAAAAAACTGAAAAAGTAAGGGCAAATCCGTCATTATAAAAAAGTTCAAAGCAAACTGGACCAAACCCGCAACAAAATGAAAAGTTTGGACCTCTGGTGCTAGTCCAAACCTTTTTGGACCAAAATAACAATTTTCAGCTAACCACATGGACCATTTGTGCAGTTTAGCCTCCTATCTATATGAAATGGTGACGAATGTCATATTTAGATAAAACTAATGATATTTTAGGACACTTGCCATCGTTTCAAATGGGTAAAAAAATAATTAGGAAGAAAAATATGAGGATATTTAATTTTTTTTTTAGCATCAACTTTTTTATCCTACTTTCGATCCTAATTTTGACCATGATGATGACTTAATTTGCAAAAAAGACAAATAATAAAATTCACATATATTTCTTTCTTTTTTCTAGAACATTTTGAGCCACCTCAATCTGAGTAACGATCGGTTAGATATGATCAAAACTAGAATGGAATCAGTGCGCCTTTGGCGCTGTGGTTTTGGAATTAAATTGCATCACAATTTTGCATAACAGTTACGTAAGACTTAGACATAGCAACAAAATATTTACAACATCAGATTTCTTGCATAAGGACAGTTACATACCAACATAATATTCATATCAAAAGATTACTTCCTTAAGGGTTGTATAGGTACATATTGTTTATTTACAGTAGAACATCACTAAATAGATAAACATATTACTTATAAGGATGCTTGTCTTCAGGGAGTTTCTTGATTTGTTGTTTGAGATTGTTGATAAGGGTGTCATATTTTTCCTGCATTTCATGGATGGTGTTGCTCATTTTTGCTGTCTCGTAGTGGTTGTCAAGCAGCACCTGTTGCATATGCAGGTAATTTTCATATGATGGTTTTGAATCCATCTATGCCATCACTTCTGTCTTGTAGGTTTGGTGTTCCCAGGTTTCGTCGCGCATGTTTGTTAGTGACAGTTTCTCTGCCTCATAGTGAGCAATGAGATTGTTGAGGATGATTTCCATTTGTTGGGGTTTCATTTTTCTTCTGTAGGTGGTATGTGGATTGTGGGTGACACTGGTATGGAATTCTTTGGAGGAGACGATTGTTTTAAATTAGAGATTTTTGTAATTAATATGGTTGGTGAATGTTTAATGTAAGCTTAGTTTTCGAGGCTACGATCATGCATGATGTAAGGTATGCCGGTCATTTCAGATATAGAGTTATTTACTTTTTGCATCTATTTTCATAATTACTTCGTGTGTATGGTGTAGGAGGGTTTTAATATAAGCTTATAATAAGTGGAACTGATATATTTAATTAAAAGATTACATAAAAAGCATAGCATGTTACATAAACTTTTTTATGTAGTAACATTATAATTTAAACTGAGGGCTTAGTTAGCTGGAAGACTGGCTGAGAAAGAAGTGGCTTCTACTATGTTTTACAGGCAACCTTCCTTTTGGTAGCAGGTGTATCTGTATTTATAAGTAATTATAGTTAGTGGTTTCATTATGTGTATATATTATATATATGTATACAGTACATATTAAAATTTACCTGGATTTTCAAAAGGAAGTGATCTTCTAACGTTTAGCTTGCCTTGTTGGTGCAGAGAAGTACTTTCCTTTTCAGTATTCTGGGAAGAAGTTGGACGATTAGGAGCTGGTGTTGTTATGGAAGATGGTATGTCAGAAGCCGTTTTTTCGATATTTGTAACAATGAAGCGAATGTTATTGTCAGTTGATGTATTGGTCATCCGAATCATCATTTTCTTAGGAGTGCCTTGTGAACAGGTAGCAATTGGTGGCAGTTGTTTTCTGTCATTTATGTTGTTTTCTGATCTAAGGTTATCTGTTGTTGTGCCAAATAAATCTTGTGTTGCGCTATCAGACAGTACAACAGTCATAGAATAACTTTTATCTTTAATGATTGCATTAAGTTTGAAGCTGCATTTGTGTGAAAATAGGTAAATGGCAAACCTCATTGTTTTATTTTTATCAAATATATATATATATATATATATATATTATATATATATATATATTTTTTTTTTTTGTAATAAGCATGTATTATAGACTGAGACTTACGTGCTGGATGGAGAGTCAAGTATGCCATCTGATGGACAGAACCAGTTCTTGCCTTGTTTAAAAGTTGTGATCTTACATTTTGGGCATTGAACATGATACCAGGAGTCTGAGAAGATATATTCAACTATGGAAGCCTTTGTGATAAGAGTTTTATCCTATACAACACGAATTGTTTTGTAATTTTGAAAAAAGTTTGTTTATTAATTAACTTGCGTCTGCAGATACGTAGATGAAGGTATAACATACCGAAAGATCAGAATGGCTTTTCTGGATTATTTCTGATAATGGTATTGGGGGATCCAAGAAAATTGGTGATTCAGGTAATGTATTGTAACTGTAATACAATAAAAGAGAATGTAATGTATAATGTAATGTATTTTATATATCTACATTGATTATGAAACCTGTCGATTAGCGGTTTTGTCTCTGGGATTGGTGGGTTCATGTATATATGAGTGGCGCTACTTGTTCCAAGTCGTAATGTTCCTGTATATTTAGTATAAAAGGTGATATAGAAGATTTTTATTTTAATTTCTAATTTTAAATGGTAATTTTTTTGCATATGTGCTTACCTGCATAAGTTGAGATCTTTACACTTGTTATGGCAACTATTACAGGTGCAGGAGCAGTTTCAAGAGCAATACGATCGAATTTTGAAGATGTGCTGGTGAATTCTTTCCATAAACTTATTGCAATATCTTCACCACTGATATTTATATGTTTGACACATGTCAATATCATAGCAGAATAATATAATAAAAGATTTACTTACTATTCATTTTTTAGTATCAGCAATAGATATGGTTCATTGTCTTTTTTTGTGCAGTTGATAAGTTTACTGAAGATTCCAACAAAATCTGTAAACAGCCAAATTTAATAGTTAATTACATATGTAATTCTTGTGTTTTGGTACTTGTTTTGTGTGTATAGATGTTAAGACCTGCATGTTGATCTTTGTAATCTGGTATCTGTCTTTTGGTAATTATATAAAACCAATGTATGGGAATAATGACAGTGTCTGGAAGAGGTGAAATTGAGGATGCTGTTCCAACAGCCATGTAAATTTCATTATTGAGCCAGTTTTGGTAACGATCAGGAATTCCGCAGCCATACTTCTCAATTCTGTAGCATCTAGAAGGTAGGAGTACGGATTGTAGAAAACCTTGATCTTTTCGTTGTCCGAGGATCTGAATGGCATCACCCTTATAGAAAAGTGACAATTTATAAAGCAACAATTTATATGTGCTTAATATTTGTATACATTGGAATTAAAAGTTGAGATATAAGGTAATAACTTACATTTTTGTCAACTGCTAAAAACCATGTCTCTTGATTTCTAAGCTGTGGTGTCCACATACGAACAATTCGGACCTACAGTGGTTTACAATATTATAATTTCATTGGCATTCAAATAATGTGAATTTTATGAAAATAGATGTATTCATATACCTGTACTGCTGTCCCCGGACAGCCATAATGTAGTTCTGAGATTGTTGTTGTTATTTCAGACATCTCTGGTGGGATACTAAAGGAATGATATAAATTTTATTTGTGAATATAGTAATACACACCATGTTTTATGAGGTAGTAAAGGAAAATAGAAGGAAGATACATAGATTAGCATATTGTATATAATTGTAAATGATAAATATGTGTTTGACTTCTGAGTCATTAACTTTTTGTAGAAACTCTCTGAATACTACGTTTTTAGTTTTGTTATTTGTAGTGTTGTCATCAGAATGTATAAGTATTTTGACCGAATCCGGAGATGTAGCACGAGATAAGGCAACATAAAGTTGCCCGTGTGTAAAAATTGGTTGTGGCTGATAAATTCCTACTTTTTTTAAAGACTGTCCTTGGCTTTTGTTAATAGTCATATCATAGCACACTTTTAACGGGAATTGTTTCCTAACAAAGGTAAAAGGCACGCCAGGGGCTTTATGAATAAATGTAATACGGAGGAGGATAACTTTGTTTCCAATGGAAGTCCCAGTAATTATCGTTGTCTCAATCACATTTGATAGTAGCTGTGAAACCATCAGTCGCGTACCATTACATAAACCTTCTTTCTGGTTTATATTCCGAATTAACATAACAGGAGTGTTAATTTTCAGTAACAGTGAATGCACAGGTATGGAAGGGAAGTTTAGGGCATTTAGATATTCTACTGGATAAAAAGTATTAAACTCTGTGCTTTGGTTACCATTAAATTCGATATCGTCAGCACTTTCATACATTTTAGAATGACCATGGCTTTTCTGCAAGACTATATCATTTATTTTTTGGATAGTTTCGTTTTTCGGACAAACAATTGCTCTAGCAGACAAAAGTAAAGCAGAAGGTTTTTTCAGAATATCATCTCCGTAAACAAAGTCTATAAGATTGTTTAATGCGTTTTCTGTTGGAGGTATGACAAGATGTGTAGGAATTTCAATCCATTTGCTATTTGCCTTATCACGTGTGTCAATTTCACCAATCACCCCATCCCCAATCTGAAGCAACCAAGATGCAAACTGTGAGATGTTTAATTGTGTGTCAAATGAGGTGGAGGAGTTTCCAAGTCGCATGTTATTTGTCAATTTATACAAATTGAAATACTGCCATAAGTATGAGTTTGGTAGTGTAAGAGAGATAATCTCAGAAGGTGTGCTTCTTGGTGAGACAGGTAAAGTTTGACGGAAGTCTCCTCCCAATAACATTGACATACCACCAAAAGCTTTACTTTCACATTCAAGTATATCTCTTAAAGAACGGTCCAAACACTCAAAAGAATGTCTGTCACTCATGGGTGCTTCATCCCATACAATAATGGACGTTACTTTCGACAACTCAGCAAGCATTGTCTTCTTTGTAATGTTACAAGCAACATTATGAGTAAAGTCAATTGGGATTTTGAACCTGGAGTGAGCTGTTCTTCCTGATGGAAGGAGTAGAGATGCTATACCGGAAGCAGCAACAGCAAGAGCTATTTTCCCTCTAGAACGAAAGTAAGTGAGTATCGTTGTCCACAGGAATGTTTTCCCGGTACCTCCATGTCCATAAACAAACATCATCACCTGTTGATTTGTAGCCTCTGCAGACTCGACAGCATTATAGATGTGACGTTGTTCATTATTTAGACATGACAACATGTGTTGGTGAGTAGCTTTCAACCCTTCTTTATCATATGTCATTTCTTCTAAAAAAAGTCGATTTATTAACATAGCAATAGTTTCCTCTGTTGGTTTTGGCAAATTGAAGTCAACAACAGATTTTGAGGGTGTAGACGATTTGAGGACATGGTCCAATTCATATAAAACCAGTTGTTGTATGTGAAAATTACTTATACTCACATCAACACTTGGATTTGACATCTTAATGTTATGTACCAAATCATCACTCATTTTCTCCCATCCAAAAAGCCACAAAGACATAGGATCATTAACATCACACAAAAGGAGCAGATAACAAAATAAGGAGCGCAATTGAGAGGATGTAGCCCATTCAGAAGCCTCAGTAAAAGCATCCATCCACTCTTTATCTTCCCCTATTAGACCAATGAATCACATGCACTAGGAAAGTCAGAGTGGATAGTGTTGGAAACAGTACGTACATCTTCATAACACTTGCATCCTTTTTGATGACAAAGCAACATTCTTAAATAAAATAACTCTCCAGCAGAGGGGTGAACAAAGATAATTCTACCTAACGCGTGGGAAGTAATACGTTTCCTTTTTTTCCAACCTTTAGCCTGTTTGTCCCACCAATACTTGGTAGGATATGAACTATACGTAAGATCATGACCACTTGTATCCCATCTGTTGTTCTCAAACCAACCCAATAACAAACTGCTACCAAAACTGGGATCATCAACTACCTGTTTAATAGAAGTGTTTTCTTTAAAAAACACAGGCTGCATATTTGGCAAATGCACAGGTAGTATCACTACAGGCGGATCTCGGTCATGAATAGGAAAATCAAGTATGCGCCAAGCAGCTTCATGAGGACACAGAAAACGGCCATCAATGTAATTCTTAATTTCATCAACCACAGTAGGTTCCGCTGAAGCCAAAGATCCACAACCATGAACATTTCTGTGAACAACAAACTTAACACGCTCCATTCCCTTTGAAACATATTTGAACAAATATTTAATCATCATATTCCACCCACAATACTCAACATTAATATGTGCATTAAAACGACAACACAACCTTTTGTTGTAAGGAACAACGAACCTGTTGTCTATTTCTACACCTGTTTGTAGCTTATGAACAACAGTGCAATTTCTTTTATAATGAGCATAACCATCCTTATCAAAGACCGTATCAGAGCGAAATTTTTTTGGGTATCTTTTCTTACACTTACCATCCTTCATACATGGGGATCTACCGTTCAGCAAACCACATGGGCCATGTATAAGACATCTTGTAACAGTCTCATATAGTAATGGTTCTGAAACAGGATCCGGTAGTTCAGCAGTAATGTAATTGTCAATAGCAGATGGTTCCTTTATCTTATGGGAATCTGCTATCCATATCAGCGCGTGACAATGTGGTAAGCCTCTTTTTTGAAACTCGATGGTATATAGATCTATCAAGAAAATGTAAAAGGAAATAAGGAAAATTTTAAGTACATAGAATATAAGAAATTAAAAAAACAATGAATAACGAAGCATAGAAGTAAAGCAGGTAATAATATTTTTTTCAGGGAAAGGAAATTACATGCTGAGACAGGTCCAAATGTGCAATCAGATTTCAAGCATGCAATAAACGCATTGACTTTCATACGAAACACACGTGAGATTATGTCAGCTCTGCTTGCCACATCAACCTGGTGATACATAGCCATATATCTTCTGATTTCTGGCCATCCAACATTACACGTAAAAGTTATAAAGTATTGTGGATTGCTATATTCCCGAAAAATAGAAAGAGCGTCCTGATAGTGACTGTACATATACCTTGGACCGCCAACAAAAGAGGGGGGCAAAATAACCCGCTTCCCAATACTTTTACTCTCAGTATCACCACGTGATATAGCATCATAAATACCACTAACATATGCTGATCTTAGGTGGTTTTGATTTTGCTCATAAAATTCAAGACGTGAAAGCTCAATAGAAGCATAGGCATCAACTAAATATTGCTGAAACAATCTACATGAGTTCAATATAAGAGAATATACAGCATTCCTTGCATGTATATGGTAGCTGTAGTACATATTAATAGTGAGATTCCTAGCTTTTGAACCAACCTCATTCAAAAGCTTCAACCGTGGAGACCATCCATTCTCACCATAAGGAAATAAAACTGGGTACTGCAATGACATGTAGCTGGGATGAAGTTTAGTAACCCTACGCGGAGGACCAGTTTTTGAACGAACAACTATGTCATACGTACTACCAACTGCATCTTCTCCAACAACAATACAACCTAAACTACCAGGGGCCGGAGGGCCATACAGACGATCAGGAACATCATTAAAAAGACAAACTGCGTAGTCATGTAACTCCCTTTCAGCAGCGATATCTCTTGCACATTTAAAAGTCCTAACATATTCATTATGAAGGTTAAAAATATCCATAAGAGCCTGAACTATAGTAGAATCTAAAGAACTGTTATCATTACTTCGAAGTGCGGACAACCTATTATCCAATTCATGATATGTATCAACAATATACAGCTGCAAGAACCTGGGTCCTTTTTCATTAACAACATCAAAAGCGCCAATCCAGTGACAAACCTGGCCCGAAACTTTGAATACGTAGGGACCGTCAGCGCTATTAATAGTGTCATCTACCTTACCCCCGAAAGACGTCATACTAAACATGCTATTATAAGCCCTAATGTTCTTGATGAAAGGAGGAAAATCATATAGAGCCAGCAACAATTGAGGAGGCATGAGTGGATATGGCAACACAACAGAACCAGACTTACAACAACGTGTATAGGCAGGGCAATTTGGGCGTGACAGATAAATAACCCTTTCCTCAAACCAAAAAAGAGCGCCACAAGATTTACAAATAAAAGTGCAGTCACCAACGTCTTCATAAGAAGGTAAGAGTAAAGCATCGTTAGCAATAGAAGAAAATAACCCTTTTTCAGAAGATAAAATCGCACCTAAACGGGGAGAGAAACTACGTGTAGAAGTGGAAGGTGCAGACATCGGATTAAAGAAGAAGAATGAGAGAACATACCTAAAGAAGGAAGCGTGCAAGAGAAATTAGCAAGAGAAGAACAAAAGACAAAGGAGCAGAAACAGTAGATAAATATAATCTAAGTCGGCCAAATTGAAGATAAGAAGAAGAAAAGAGTCGGCGAAATTGAACATAAGAAGAACAAAATAAGTCAGATACGTAAAGAAAAGAAACCGAAGGAAAGATATGTGCCCCAAACTGAAAAGGCGAAGACTCTCGTGTGCAATGAAGAAAGAGAAGAAAGTATATTGTTCACGAATGTTTTAAGCTTTTATGTTATATATAATACGGATGCATGGTAAAAAAACCCCGCACTTGCGTTTCATCTTTATTTATACGTCTTTTGTTAGTTTTTCTCGCGTACACAATTATTCAAATTGCCATATAAAATAGAACCACTCTGTAATAAAATTAGAATTTTTGTAATAAAATATAGCTAATTAAATAGATACAAAAGTGACCACTTGTATTCTTCTTCTGAATGATTGATTATTTCATTCCTTGCTCCAAAATTGTTCTTACCTTCACATAATAGTTGTAATTCTCAAAATAACCAAACTATAAAATGCATTATGTTACATGTCATTTAATTGTTTTTTATTTGTTAAATTAATAATATCGACAATGTTATTCTTAAAAAATATGATGTTTGACTTATAAATTGAAAAATTATACCAAAGGGCTTCTAGCCAAGCGGTATCAGGTGGTGTCCTCCCTCCTTGAGGTTGAGGGTTGAAGTCTCGTTGGAGACATAGGTGGATTTAGGAGTAATATAGTAGAAGTAGGTTAGATTTGCCGTTAAAAAAAATGAAAGATAAAGACAAACTGATTAATTTAAAATTTTTAAAAAAAAATCTAAAAGGTTAATCTTTGGACTAAGTGTATAACAGTAATTTTTTATTAATAACAGTTAATAAAAATATAATATAAAAATAAAAAGTTTTTGAGAGATTAAATTGTCCACCAAAATTTTAAAGCTTTGATAGCAGTTGAGATTTTTAGTCCAAAAATGAACAAAGTGAACCAAACTAACAACAAAACCGAAATTAAGCTGGATCGAAAACAATAGCTAATCGAGATATAGGGTAACAATATTCAAAGGCATATAATGTAAACAATCAACCAAAAATCAAATGCTAATTACACATAACCAATCATCAAATCATTTTAAATGATGGTGGTTGTGGTTTTAATTTTTATGCTTAGTTCACAAACATTGAGATTTTTTCTGTACCCGACTACCCATTGATTTAGTAAGTTTATTTCCAATTTTTTTGACATAACACGTTGGATCAAAAGAAACATTACAAACAGAAAGTAGCCATACAATTAACCAACCCAATTATATACAGTATATTCTAATTGCTTCTAGTTTTTTTAGCGGAAAAAATTATTAGCCAACAAGTTACAAGATAGAAATATCAAGAGTTAGATTTTAAAGTCAACCAACATACTTCAATTTATATTTGTTTTTATTAATTATTCAAAAAATAGAAACGATCAAATCCATTATGATAAAAAAAAATAGCTTTTTAGTATACCAATTAAAATAGTTAACGAAGAAGGGATGTTACATTTCCACCTCCCAACAATGTTTATAGCAGTGAATGAAGAAAGGATGTCACATTCCACCACCAAACAATAGGAAATTGACCAACTTATCGAACCTAAATAACAAGTGATCAAAACGTGGTCAACTGTTTCAATATGTGACTCACAATTGGGACATATATAAAAGTGAATCGAGTTTAGTACTTTTATTTGTAACCAAAAGAAAGATCGAGTGATAATCTCATCAAAGATTCCTCCAATTTTGCTAATTGATTTGGATATGAAATGAATCGGTATGCTTTATTCAACATGGTGTGCAAATCTCAAATATGTCATGGATAGGTCTAATGTATACAATTTAAAAGAAATCATGAAAGTTTGAATGATTATCTTGATAATCTTGTGAGTGTATTTCAAAAAAGGTTTTGTGAATGCAGCAAAATAGATATAAGTTGTTAGAACATACACAATGTATAGTTTAATGGAGTGATAGTATGAAAAGTGATTTCTAGTTGATATTCAATATATTAAACTCAACAAAAATAAGATGTCTTGTATTCAATAGATATAAAGTTTAATGACCATTAAACTATTAAACAAAGTGATTGCCAAATAAATGGTTTAATTAACAATAGGTTTAACTGGAATTTTGTAAAATTCAATGTATTGTAATAAAATAATGATAGAGTTTTACAAAGAGTAAAATGATGATCCGAGAGTTCATTGAACTCTTAATTATTATAAAATAGTGTATATTAATATTTTTTTCAAATATATTTTAATACTTTTTTTTATCTATATATGTAAATCAACGAACACAACCAGTCAACGATGATAGGTTTATAAAAAGGAAAATAAGAGGGAAATATGGTGTTCCTGGGAGGAAAAAGGAAAATAAGAAGGAAATATGAAATTAGTATTAACGAGGGAGGAAATAAAATATTTTTAGCCGTCAACAATAAATTACTTTTACAAATAAAACATGTATATTTATACACTATTAGTTGAGCATGTGAAAGCACCTTTGATCAAAAGTGATATCATGTAATTTGTATGTATCAAAGAGTTTGTAGCTTAAAGATATCAACTATCAAATGATGTTAAAGATGACCAAAAGTTATAGGCTGTGAGTAATTCTAAGTCTTGTTGTAAAAGAAATAGATAAGTTAGGAGTAGATTAAGGGTTTTTACCGTTAAGAAAATGTTATTTGTATATGAATTCACGGTCTTGTGAAAAATGATACCGCAAGATAAGTGTTTTCATCATTTATTACAAATAAATTTAGGACCCAAAAACTAGATGAACCCATGACTGAAAACTAGTTTTATTTATACTTAATAATCATTACTAATTATTAGCCATTTGATTGTAATTAATAGACAAAATATTCCATTTTTATAATAAATTATTTTTATCAATAATTGAATATTTTTAATATACTAAATACTTAACCAAATATTGTCTTTAAAAATATTTAAAAAAATAGTTTGATGTATTTTACAACTCGTGATAAGCTAATAATAGAAGTCAAAAGGTTACTTTCTGTAAAATATATTTTTGTCAACTTTGGTTCATGGGTATGACAAAGAGACACAAAAATTCTAAGTTGTTTTTATAATAACATATTTATTTATATTTTATTGTTTTGAAACATTACCTTTTGTATTTTAAAACCATTGTTACTATTTATTGTTTAATACTGGATCTCTATTTATTCATATTAGCCGCTATATGTTTTTTGACGTAATCAATTATCTTTTATAAAATGATATATTCATGTTAAACTTGAATTAAAAAACATTATAACTTATATATAAAATCAATATAGAATAATAATACAAAAACCTAAAAAAGAACACATTTTCGCCTATATAAATGGTCTTTCATGATCATATGTCAAAACTATTATTCTTCCAACGAACACCATGGAAACCTCCCAACCTCTCACCATAGAAAGCTTCTCCTACTCTTGGTTAATCAATCAAAATCCTTCCCTCGACGAGATCTTCAACAACACCGACGAACACTACAGTAAACAAGAAAGCACAGACTCCTTTGTTAATTCACAAAGATTCCACGAAGAATCCCAAAATTTTCATTTTGATCTTCCATTTTCTATCCCAAATCTTGTACATGCCGATGAAATCTTTTTCAATGGACATATCATTCCTAGATCTGTCAGTCAGATAAGGCTATACTCGACTCCTGCTACACCTCTAGTTCACTTTCCACCCAAGAATCCTTCAAAAATTACAAAAAGTTACAGTCAACTTATAGCGAATTTGCGAGTATCTTCAAAAAGGATACTTGAAAAGTGTTTTAGCTTGCTTTTACCACGAAAAAGTACAAGAATTGTGGACAGTTCGACAAATCCGGTTTGTTTGCCATCTTTTGTGCTTACAAATGAGCGAACGAACAAGAGAATCGAAGGTGACAAGACCACATTCCGAAGAACGAAGAGTTGGAGTCACAACTCATCATACGGATCTCGTTTTTCGTGTTCGAAAAACAAATTGTGTGATTACAATGAAACATCAGTTCACGAGGCCATTGTTCATTGCAAAAGATCATTTGGTAATCTCTTTTAAATTATATATATTTACATCTCTAATAATATTATTATCTTATGTTATATATTGAGATGGTTTTAAATTAAAATTCTCATATTACATCATCTTGGCTATTTGATATGCAGAAAAGTGACGATATAAGCAGATGAACCCTTATCTAAGATTCAAGAAAGAAAAGCTCGTTTTTAGAAAGCTATATATGTAAACTAAGATTTCAAATTTGATTATTATTCAGATGCACAAAGGCATATAGACAATGATGCATATGAATTGTTGTGTTGCTTTTTGATATGTCACCAAATATACATAAAGGTTCTGGTTCATTTGATTTTGTATATAGCTTTGATCTTCTTTTTCATATATATATTTACACACGGCAGGAATTATTGTATAAAAAGACTAAAATGACCATAAATCATTGTTGAAGAAGACTAAAGATTCTTGGAACGCTTAAAATTAGTTTTGGTTCGATTTAAAACATTTATAACAATTCTACTCTACTGCATAAAATTTGAACTTAACATAGACATCCAAATATACAAAGGTGAGATTGTGATGGTTGTTTGTATAGAGTTTGGAAATGGTATGTTGTTTTAAATTATTTTGGAGGGAGGACGTTTAGAAGATGTGTAATCATGTGCAAAGCCTCTACCTAATATGTTGGGGAAGTTGTACAGATCATGCTTTCAGATTTATCTTTTTGTTGTAATATTTTTGGGAATGAAAAACGAACTTGCATTTCCTTTGAGTCAAAACAATCATAGAGGGAAGAGATGAAGGATTATACTAAAATGCCTTTACATCCAAACTAGTTTTTAAAATAAGCATGAAAATTAAAGCATCAAATATCTGACGAAGCAGATACACCCACATGAAATAAGGATAATGATCCAAAAAATGGCATAATGATTTATTGTATTAACACTCAAAACTGGAATGTCAACAAATCGGAATTACAAAATCAAAAACATATTTAACAATACACTCAACTCTACTAACTGGATTTTTAACATGTTTGCCTAATTGAAAACATGTCACATCCTTTATGATTTTCCTTTATTACAAGAAATAAATGAACCAATGATTGAAAAGCATGGTCATTAGGAAGATCTATATGTTGATGCCATATATATGTATATGTGACAAGAGGGAAAATATAACTAATATAGTCACATAGTAGAGGCCACCAGTGCGATCACATATGATAAAGGGTGGAAAGGTCTAACCTTCCTTAACCGGAAAAAAATAAATTCTCAAATTTAATATAACATTCTTAATTTCTTGCAAAATAATGAACAAATATAAGGTTTTTAATGATAATACAACTAATGGGGCATTTTGAAGGTGTAGGGGTAGTGAGGGTTGGCAAACTTAATATTCCCAATATATAACTAAAATAGATGTTCTAGTATATTTAATTCCATATTTGATGATTTCACCATTCTGACTAAATAAAACATTGTAATGTTGATAGTAGGATGCTAGTTTCACATTGTAATGTTGATAGTAGGATGCTAATTTCAGGAAAAAAGAATTTGAATCATAGTATGTTCTAGTACATCAATGTTATTCCAAATTTTGTATTAGCTAAAATAAACAAATCAATACAAGCACGTTGTTATTTCTTACATTTAACCCGTTAAAAATGACTTGGCAACAAAATGTGTTGTAACGTACCTCGCACATAGTTGGATTCTTCATTTGTTTTTCTCTTTTTAATAATTGTTCATGTATATCAAAACCCACACATAGTCAGATTCTTCATTTTTTTTAATAATTGTTCATGCATATCAAAACTTGAACTCGGGAAGGTAGGTTAGGGGCACTTCTATAATTTGAAACCCCTCTAGAAGTGTTACTCTCACCAATATCCACATTAAATGTTGAAAACACCAGTCTTTCTTGACCTTTTGACTCTAGGATGGGTCCTAAGGCATAAAAATGAGGTCCTTTGAGCTAGCTTGGTCCCTTGTTCTTTGTAGGAGGTCTTAATGGATTAAGACCATGTATTAAGCCCTTTTTGGACGACCAAAGTCTTAAAGTTTGAGACTTTATGGTTATAGAGTACTTTTGAGTCATGGATCTGAAGTTTGAGCTTAGGTGCTTAATCCATTAAGCACTTATGAGGATTTTAAGACTTGCGAGGGTACGCCCCGCGTGAGTGACGTACGCTCCGCGTACTGAGTCAACCACCCCTATGGTGGTCAATGTGAGGCGAAGTACGCCCAGCGTACCGAAGAGGTACGCCCACCGTACGCCTTCTTTTTGGGTTTTGGACTTTGGGTTTCGGGTATTGGGCCATCTGTTGGGCTTTGATACTTGGGCCCTAATGGACCATCTGGATAAGTATGTTTTGGGCTAAATAGAGGATGAAACCTTTGGATAAGGCCCAATAAGGGGTTTGGGCCCAATTTGAAAAATTGGGCCAATAATGGGCCTTGAAGTAATTGGGGCCTTTTGGATCAAAGATTTAGACTTGGGCCTTGGCCCATTTAGGGAACGGGTAAAGTGGACAATTACCCTATGTTTGGGCCCTTAGTCAAAAGTGGTATCCCAATTGTTGATTGGGTGTTTGTTTATTGTGATAGTTTGAGATTTTCCTTGAGTCAGCAGTCAGGGATTTCAGTGCAGCTTGACATTCGAGAGGTGAGTTTTCCTCACTATACTTGTGGGTCGAAGGCACCAATGTCGGCCCAGTGGATTGATATACTGTTATGCACGTTGCTATGTTGTTATAATCTGTTAGATCGGTATCCCGGTAGATAGGATAATGCTATGCTTAGTGGTCTGTTGAATCTTTTTGATTGACTATAGACTGTTATATGATTATATGTTATGTGTACACATTATTGGTTGGTGGCTGAGGCTTCACTTCTTTGTACGTAAGCCAATAGGTCGGGGCATTCCAACCCGATGGTTGAGGGCCTGGGGTATTCCAACCCGATGGTTGATTGGACCCATAGTATGTTGGCATTCCAACCCGATGGTTGAGGGCATGGGGTATTCCAACCCTGTGGTTGATTGGGCTCATAGTATGTTGTTATTATATTTGTGCTATTTGTTATGTATTGGTATTTTGGGGGAACTCACTAAGCTTTGGACTTACAGTTTTTGATTATGTTTCAGGTACCTCAGGATGATCGCGGGAAGGTGAAGACTTGATCGTGCACCTCCTCGTATTTTGTGTTATGATTTCTGGGAAAACTCTGATGTGAAACTTAATTTGAAAACGATTTGTAAACAATGATGGTTGTGGTTTGTTTTTAAAAGTTTAAATTTTTCATAAATTTTATGGTTGTTACAAGTTGGTATCAGAGCCTTGGTTTGAGGGAATTGGAGGAACACTCATGTGAATCCAGTCTCAAACTGAGGAAAAAGATTTTTAAATGATTTTCAAACAGTTTTCAAAATATTCAAGGAGGATGCGATATGTACGATCAGCCGGAGCCAGTAAGTGTGACATCCCCATTTTCACGGCTAGAAAAGACCGATTTTATTTATGCTTTATAAAAATCAGAGTACTTCTTTTGATAAAAATGTTGCGGAATTTGTTCCCAGTAAAACATGATAAATGCGTTATCAAAGCATTTCCGAAGAAATGTATTTTTATTCATTTTAAAACATTTGGGATGTCATTGTCAATACAGAAACATAAGCATAAACAGAACTTACATTCATTTACACTAGTGATCTACACCTCTTTAATCTCTCAGTGTAATGTAACTTCGTATCGGCACCTGTGATTCAAATAAGCTTGAGTGGGTCAGGTTGGGAAACCTGGTGAGTACATAGGGTTTTCAACCCACAATAATATTGTTAATTTGTTTCTTCACATAATACATGTCAAACAATTAACCCGATTGCCCATCCCCATTTTCTTCATTTAATATTCCCTAAAGAATTATCTTAAGGTTCATCTCCTATATCGTATTTACCTCTCATCTCTTTACATCACATTTCCTTATATGTTCGTTCCTAAGGACTTTTCCTGAGGATCATTGTCTACATCACATAATCAGTAATGATTCGGGGATTACCCCCTCAATACCCGCCTAGTAAGGGTTGGAGTATCATCGCATGAATATGTAGTTACAACATCGCCTGAACTCGTAATTCATAGTAAGGGTTAGAGTATCATCACATGAATACGTAGTTACAACATCGCCTGAACTCGTAACTCATCACCTACAGGTTATGAGCCTGCTGGTGTTTCCACGGGGTTGTCTAGAATAGTCCGTGGTCGCCATCTATACTCTGGTAGATGACTACATCTCCACATTGCCGGAAAAAGGTTATGGTATCTTTCATCCTACATCCCCAATTCATCATGACATATCTATCCTCACCTAATTATCATCACCTTCCTATCATCACCTATCTCTCATCATTTTATTTCATTACACACCAACTATTTCATCTACCCATGTCATACCCAACATATTTGTAGATATAAAATACATATACAGTTTAAATCATTTTAAAACATGTATAAAATCATTCATCTAGCATAGACGGCAAGTATTCAGATAGTATGCACACATAGCACGTAATTTATATAAAATATTTCATATCTATGTGTAAGATGAAAGTAACTATGCACTCACTTGATAAGGCGGTGACTCGGTACTCGGACAGCGCTTCGTTTACTTTAAAAATAATTTCCTTCGACGAAACCTAGTATTATTACCACTAGATTTTAGTCTAATATTTACCGTGACTAATTATTAGTCTTATTATTATTATTATTATTATTATTATTATTATTATATAAGCGTTTAAACAATATTTTCCAACCACTATGTACAGACAGGGGCCAGACATAAAACAACGGAGGGCAGGACCATTTTGGCATTTAGCACTTCTGAAATCCAACAACCCTATGCGGCCCTTTAAACCAGATTCCCCGTACCGCGAGTAGTTAAAAAGATATTATAACGACACTTATATAAGTCATAATAATAGCTCAAATATTTATTATAAGTTCATAATAACAATACTAATTTTAAATATAAGCTATATTAAATTAGGTAAGCATAACTTACTTACAAGTGAGTTTTAGCTAGGAGCCGGGCTCTGCAGGGGCAGAACTTCGTCGTTGTATCTTTCTAAGAAAGATTCGTGCAGCGCTTCAGC